ACGAACACTCGTACAACGAGGCAGTCATTATAATTAAGTTATACTTTCTAAGATTTTAATCTATCATCTGTGAAATGGTTAAGTGATTTTGTATTAAATAAATTATAAAAAAAGAATTATTAAAAAATCAATAAGAATTCACAAAGAAGAGAAGGTCTGCTAGGTACTTCAGTTACCAATAAAAACACAGACAAGTATATTGACTTACTTTAGGTTTTTGCAAATACTTCTTCAAATAAAAAAATCAATAAAGACATTCTGCATCGAACACTGCTACCTAAAATAATGGTCGTCATCGACCAAAACTGTCATTGCATTCAAGCTTCTAAAACCTTCATTATAAATATTATAATCGCTTGAATGTTTTTGGCGCCGCCGTTACAAAGTTGTGAGCGGAAATATTTATTGATGACGTCATAGTAATAAAATTTCTATAGCTTCATTTTATTTATATTGAATACTAATTCTTCTTAGAACGATTGTCTTAAGGTTTATTTAATAAATAATAAGATACAAATATTTTTTTTAATAACTTTAATACTATAAGTCAAGCAAATAATAAGAACAACCTTTTCAATAACATCACGCCTGTTGTCCCCGAAGGGGTAGGCAGATGTACACATTACGGCACTTAATGCCACTGTACAATGTAAAACCCACTTTTCACTATTTGTGTTATGAGTCCCATATAATAGCGGTTGAGCCTATTGCCATATACCGGGCACGAATCCAGACTCCGTGGTACTACTGATATCTTTTTTTAAAAACCCAGTAATACTTTGCCATACCCGGGAACTGAACCCGAGACCTTTGCCCGGCAGTCACACTTGCGGTCACCCGACCAATGAGGCAACTTTGTCAAAAACATAGTAAAGTATTAAACGTATAACCACTCACTACAAACATACAAGTTCACATACACATGACACCCAGATCCGGAACCACAATCTGTGGAACAAACAAAGAGTTGTTCCGTGCGGGAATCGAACCGTGCAGTCATATATTTTTTTATAGCATAAGCTGGTAAACGAGCAGACGGATCACCTGATAGTAAGCAATCGGCGCTAACAAGTAACACCAAGGCGTTACAAGTGCGTTACCGGCCTTTTGGGAATTGGGAATTTGAGGATTGTGGAGCATTCAGGGATTCGGGAGACTAGGGAGGGGGTAATTAAGCCTCCGGTAACCTCATTCGCACGACGAAACACAGCGCAAGCGTTGTCTCACGTCGGTTTTCTGTGAGGCTCACTCCGATCGAGCCGGCCCATTCGTGCCGAAACATAGCTCTCCCACACTTATTATTACCGACTTATACTACATTAATTGAAAAATAAGTCTAACGCCCAAATACCGAAAGGCTACTCAATTTTTAAGTCGTGCTTAAATATCGTGCCATCTCTGTCATTTTACAAAGAATTTGTAGAGACAGAACTATACTTAAGCGCGACTTAAATTTGAGTGGCGTTTGAGTATATCAGCGTAAGTTATAATAAATATGAGACTATAACTTAGTTCAGTCTGGGGCTCATATTCATTGGTATTACACTTAGACAACAATACAACACTACCATAGAACCATAAACCATCAATGATCTTCGAACTTCCAATCAAAAAACAATAACAAGTTGCTTTCTAAAATTTGCGTGTACGCATCTCCGTTAATCGAGGCGATATGGCGCGACGCATACCTGTCTCTTTTCATCATATAGCCCGCTCTCACTCGCACGTCATTACGTTATTAGTCTGGTTGGAACATGAAGAGCTGTGATTAGCAAGTGATTAAGGTTCATTCAACATAATCATGTAATTATTTATTTATGTTTTAGACTCGAGTGGGTTTTGTACCTAGTATATGTAAGGAATTTAGATCAAAATTACTTTATGACACCTGTCTCGGTAGACAAGATAGAGTAGGAACATACTAATCGAATAAATTTGAAAGGAATCCTTACTATAATATTATAAATCGGAAAGTGAGTTTGTTTGTTTGTTCCGATTTCACGCCGTAACTACTTAACCGATTGCTTTGAATTTTTGCAGACGTAAAGTTAAAAGTCAGGATTAAGTAATAGGGTACTTTTTATTCCGGAAAAAATTGATATTCTAGAGGGAAAACAAAAGTATTGGTATAGATGGTGCTGTATGTATTGGTATATGTCAATATACCAATACATGTATTGCTGCTGTATGTATTGGTATATTGACATATACCAATACATACAGCACCATCTATACCAATACTTTTACTATGTGACCATAGGCTACTTTTTATCGTTTTGTGACGCGAGCGAAGCAGCGGGTAAAATCTAGTAATTTATATATGGGATTGTCTTGAGATTCTGATATAGACTTTAGTTTTAATAGGCTATAGTTAAGAACATGTAAATAATTTTGGGTTTAGCGATCTAAGAGAAGCCATAGTTCAGCCTTGTACGTCCTCTACTTGATGATGACTGCCATTAGTTCATATTATTGTTTATAATGTAAAATAGACACGTGAGATTACAACCTTCTTACTGTTACATATAAGCAAACGACACAACATTTACTCAGGTCTTTTCTTTTTTATATTTGATGGGCCGACGTTTGTCCACTATCTCGCCTGGTGGTAAGCGATGATGCGGCCTACGATGGAGCACGTCGACCCATAAGCAACCTATTCACTCGGGCCTTGAAGACACCCTTTATGCCCTTTTCTTCAGATAATTCACGTGATTTTTATTAAACTAGTGGCTAAAAAAGTTTTAACCTAAGCCTAGCCTAAGTTGCTCAGTTCTTATAGCCATTAAGCAGTCGAAAATGTTCCTTAACATAAAAAAATAGTCCAAATCAAAATTTTGTAAGACCTTTTTTTAAGGGGGGAAAATCATCGAATGGCTGCTCCCGCCTGGGTGAGACGGGAGGAAGTGTCAGACTCTTACTGACTAAAAACCACCCCGTTCCTACTCCTGCACGTCGAGCCGGAGCCCCGGTAACCCGTTAGGTTCTCCGCGACATTTTGTAAAAACCTGTCTACTACATCTCTAATTGAAATATACAAACGTTCACACCAATTACTTTGCGGTAAGCATCTGATAATGTTACGTATACTGCAACAGTGAACTCGGCACGCAGTAACGATATCTGCTCACGATCGCTAATGAAATGAACGAGAACGTTCCGTAGCACTGGTGTGACATACGGATGGACTGATAGAGGAGCAGATATAGAAGAATATAAACATTACGCACTTGTAATACTTCTGATGTTACTGGTGCCAATGCCGCGCGCGGCTTCGATTGCTTACCATCAGGTGTTCCTCGTTTACCTTTGCCACCCTGTCTTATAAAAAATCATCATCATAACATCACATCTTTTATCCCTGAAGGCGTAGGCAGAGGTGTACATTATACCACTGAAAGTACAATGAAACACCCACTTTTCAACTATTTATGTTACGAGTCCCATGTAATTCTATTGTCTATTGCCATATACCGGGCACAATTCCAGACTCCGTTCTATTACTGAGAATTTAAAAAAAATCTAGTAATACTTTCCCCGAACCGGAAATCGAATCCGAGACCCCTTGCCCGACAGTCTCACTCACGACCACTTGGTCAACGAGGCAGCTATAAAAAACTTTATACAATCATCTCACAGCAGAAATCCTTTAATACTGTCAGCTCATGGTATTCCACTATTGCATTCTATGGGCTTCTTCAGCATAACAGGGTTAGTCATAATATCTATCCTCGGCAGGTGGATTAGAGATTGTAGATTCAAGGGTTCAAATAAAGCGCTGCTCCGGATAGCAACGCTATCTATTAATGGTATAGATTCTGTATTATAACTTTCGTGAGGCATACTAAATATATTATTATGTTTTCGGCTTACTCACCTAATTATTTGACAAGGAACTCGACTGCGATGTAGCAGCGCGACAGTCACCGCGTCGCAAGTCGCGAAATGCTGCTCAGGAATATGAGCCTCTAGCATGACTTGAAACTAGTCGAGTTCCTCGTCAAATAATTACGCGAGTAAGCCGAAAAGATAATAATATATTTGGTATAGTTTCTATCGGTAATAGGTTGTTTTCTATTTCGATCTCTTCGACAGCATTTTAGTCTTAGATAGTTCTCGCACAATCGAACCAATAAAACTATGTAACTAAATTACTAGAGAATTGTATTGTTCGCAATACAATTCTCTAGTAATTTAAAAAAAGTAATCTATGGAGTTTCTTGCTCGTTCTTCTACATAGGAATCTACACCTTGGAATGAGCAAATAGCTTCATGTTTAATATTTTTGTTCGTCTAATTGAAATAAGTGATTTTGACTTTGACTTTGTCTTTGAATTGGTTTCTATCACACACCTGTGAGAGCAGTAGGAGTGTTCTTTATCTCAGTCATCTGGTGCATCTGCACACTAGCTACTTCCGCGCGGTTTCACACGCTCTGCTCCGCTCCTATCGGTCGTAGCGTGATATTTTATAGCCTATAGCCATCCTCGATAATTGCGCTATCCAACACAAAAATAATTACTCAAATCCGACTTGTAGTTACGGAGATTAGCGCGTTCAAACAAACAAACAAACAAGCTCTTCCGCTTTATATAATAAGTATAAGATATAAGATTAGGTAATAAGACTTTACACAACTTTTTTTGTCATGTTAATCTCCCTTCACAGCCGTATGTCAGCGAGATATTTACCGGCTAGTTAGATAGACATTTTCCACCGGAAACACACGGCATTACATCGTTGTTTATTGTTGTTTGCCAACAAACAAACAGCCTGTCTCTACGTACATATAATATATAATTACTACCACCTTTAGTTATTCCCATATCATAACGCCATATACCGATTGTGAGAGCTTCCCATAGCCGATAGCACTAAGTAATTAGTAATTATTGCTTGTTTTATATAGATATTGTTGAATGTAACTGATATTAGTTGAGTGTGGTATGTACCTGACTTGTACGGCATTGCATACAGGTTAGTTTAAGTGTGGGAGAATCATGCTTCGGCATGAATGGGCCGGCTAGTCCGGAGTGATACCACAGCCTCACAGCATACCGAAGCAACGCTTGCGTTGTGTTTCGTCGGGTAAGTGAGCTTACGGGAGGCCCAATTACCCCCTCCCCCACTCTCCAATCTCCCAAATCCCTACATCGCCAACAATCCTAATCTCCAAAAAGCCGGTAACGCACTTGTAACGCTCCTGGTGTTCCAGGTGTCCATGGGTGACGATTGCTTACCATCATCACTTGGCTGTTGAAGGGTAACATCACGTTTTCCAAGTGGCAATTTACTATTGTCAATGGGTTCGGTTCTGGCAACAGATTGGTGCAATGGTACCATGGAGCATTTGGTTTTGTACCCTTCAAAGGCAAAGATACACAACATTAACTATAGTAATAACGAAATCGCAATAAGGAACCTTAGATTTGGTACAACTTAGTTATATTTCATTACTTTTTAGAGATAAACTAGTAGCTATATCGAGACTTGGCTAGCTTTTTAGAGAATGTTTTGTTGGGATATATACTTTACACGAAACGTTAACCATTTGCCCTCCACAAGTTTCTAATTAGCCAAAACTAATTTTTTTGTTTTTATGTACGTAATAATAAATAACTTCACTGAATGTTGTCCCACACTAGGATTTTATCCTATGTCCTGGCTACTTTACAAACATACAAATTCACATACACATAACACCCAGATCCGAGACAACAATTTGTGGATAACACAAAGTGGTGTTCCTTGCGGGAATCGAAACCGCGGTACGCTACACGGCAGCCGGTTGCCCAGCCACCGCACCAACCGTGCAGTTATTTGCTTATATTTTTTTTGTTTTATATATTTCTTGTCTGTGTACGTATTTATCAACACAACCAAAGAACTTAATTAAAAAATCAACGTATACCTATGAAAGGAAGCAAAATAATTCCTAATGGAAAACAATCAGGTAAGCAAGGTGCATTAATTAATGCAACTGTCGGTGATTGTTATGTGGAAAAGTAATTAACTGCACCATGTTTCTATAATCACCTGTAATTGCTAATTAGTACTGCACTCAACTACAGATAAGGTTGCAATTGGAAACGAAATTCATTTACTTCAAACAAACAAACAAACATACATATACAGTTATTATTTTAGGGAATCTTAAGAAAAGAGACAAAGTCAAAGTGAAAGCATTTATTTCAATTAAACCATAGTTTGGTACTTTTGAAACGTCAACAAATACAAAATAAACAATAGTCTGTCAGTCAGTCCGACAGTGAAACTAGGTGAAGTTAGGTGCTCATTCCAAAATGTAGATTCGAATGGAGAAGTACGAGCAAGAAACTCCATTCGTTACTCTTTTTAAAAAAGTATGTTCTACAATATCTCTGATACATATTTCAATACTGTACGCATATGTAAGAACAATGCAAAGACATGAAAACAATTTATCTAACATAGACATCTTGATAGAGAAGTATAATATAATAATAAAAATCTTTATTTACTCAATTAAGATACAGATGTTTGTTAAAGGTATAACCTGTGTTACCAGGCCCGAGTGGCCCCCAAAGACATGGAACAATATAAATTTGCTTATCTAAAGAAAATGGACAACATTTCATGAGCGAATGAATGCGTCGTATATTAACTGTAAATAAAGACAGTATCTATTATAATAGACCAGATATGCACACATTTTATACAAACTATAATAAATGCCTGCCTCGTTGGCCGAGTGGTCGTAAGTGGGACTGCTGGGCAAGGGGTCTCGGGTTCGATTCCCGGGTCGGGCAAAGTATTACTGGGTTTTTAAATATTCTCAGTAGTAGCACGGAGACTGGAATTGTGCCCGGTATATGGCAATAGGCTCACCCCCTATTACATGGGACTCATAACATAAATAGTAAAAAGTGGGTGTTACATTGTACAGTGGTATAATGTGCACTTCTGCCTATCCCTTCGGGGATAAAAGGCGTGACGTTATGTACGTTATGTATAATAAATGCCTCTACTGTGACGGTTGTCCATGGCGGGCGCTGATTGCTTACCATTAGTTGATCTGTCTACTAGTCTAGCTGCCTGTCCTACTAAAAAATAAAAAAATGTGAATATTACATCCATCCTGAAAATTAAATCGTCACACTTAATCTCATCTCACTGCTGACCTAGACATCTTGTTGTACACATAATAATTGATCTTTCAAGCAATTTTTTTTATGGTCTAAGGCATAAACGAGCAGACGGATTACCTGATGGTAAGCAATCGACGTCGCCCATGGATACCTGGAACACTAGAGGCGTTACCAGTGCGTTACCGGCCTTTTGGGGATTAGAAATTTGAGGATTGTTGGGGATTCAGGGTTTGGGGAGATTGGGGAAGGGGGGAGGGATAATTTGGTCTCATGTAACCTCACTCACACGATGAAACACCATGCAAGCGTTGTTTCAAGTTGGTTTTCTGTGAGGCTGTGGTATAACTCCGGTCGAGCCGGCCCAGTCGTGCCGAAGTTGCCCCATACTAGGATTTTCTCCTGTGTCGTGGGTGCGTTTACAAACATACAAGTTCACATACACATGACACCTAGACCCGGAACAACAATCAGTGGATCACACAAAGAGTTGTTCCATGCGGGAATCGAACCCGCGACACATTGCGCAGCAGCCTGTTGCCCAACCACCGCGCCAACCGTGCAGTCAAGTCTATACAACTAACATCAAAAATTGATCTGGATTTAAACATTTTGTATAACTAAATTGTTTAATATCGCCCGTTAATGACCTGCATAATTTGCATATAAAAACAACAATCAAATCTGTCTATAAACTCATCCCATATAGTATAAATAATTCATGGAAATTCAGCATAATAACGATGATAAGTATAGTGTTTAAAGGTTATATTTGTGTGGAGTAGCGGAGACTGATTGCCGGGAACTGTTTACTGCCTTAATTGTTTTATTGTCACCTTGTTAGAGCCTTGTTATACAGGGTGCATTTACACCGAACTGTAAGGTAAATTGAGGTATTTTGAACGCTTGTTCAAGAGTTCGGAAGTCTTTCAAAGAAAGGGATATATATAACTAGCTTTTATACCCGCGGCTTCGTTCGCGTCACAAAAGGATAAAAAGTAGCCTATGTGACATAAACCAATACTTTTATTTTCCCTCGGGAATATCAAATTTTTCAGGGATAAAAAGTACCCTATTATTTAATCCAGACTTCTAATTTTACGTCTGCAAAAATTTAAAGCAATCGGTTTAGTAGTTACGGCGTGAAAGCGGAACAAACACACAAACTCACTTTCCGATTTATAATATTATATATATATATAGTAAGGACTAGTAAGGATAATCCAAACTGAATTATTATTGATTGTTGGTAGGCAGCCTAAGATTCCATCAGCCACCTATCAAACCAGCTCAATATACCATAATCTGAGTTACACATAAGTACCAAGTTTTATGATGATACAACAATTAGAAGTGTGTGTAATTCAGATTATCAGAATTCATAACATAGTTCGTTACAGGTTGACCTAAAAAATGGTATTAAAACAGGGAAAAATTTGGAAACAAAACCTAGCATACCGAATAAAACCACACTCTCTCTTTAACCTAACCACTAACCAACGTCTCGGAGAACTTAACGGATTACCGGGGCTCCGGCTCGACGTGCAGGAGAAGGAACGGGGTGGTTTTAGTCAGTAAGAGTCTGACACTCCCTCCCGCCTCACCCAGGCGGAAGCAGTCATTCGATGATTTTCCCCCCTTAAAAAAAACCACTAACCAACAAAAATCCAATTATACCCCATAAATCAATCACTTCGGTGTAACCCTCGCCCAGCCCCAGTTAAATAAGTAGTCAACAAGAATTATACTGGTCACAATCGACCCATGACCATAATACCATTAAATGAAACTACTTGGAATTCATTAGACACCTATATGGTCATTAACCAATCAATAATTTAGGCCAGGGATTGCCAACCTTTTCACACACCACACACCCACACAAAAATTATAGTGGTCCTTAATATATTAAGGACCACTATAATTTTTTTGTGTTGTTTTTTTTGAAGAAACCGTTCTGTATGTATATTTACCATAATCTTTGTTTGTGTGCCATTTGCCAAATAAATGCTTTTTCTTTCTTTTAAACCTTGCCCCACATTATGATTTTCTCCTGTGTAGTGGATGCGTTTACACATACAAGTTCACATACACATGACATCCAGACCCGGAGCAACAATCTGTGGACTACACAGAGTTGTTCCGTGCGGGAATCGAACCCACGACACGTGGCGCGGCAGCCAGTTGCCCAACCACCGCGCCAACCGTGCAATATAGTTGTGTGAGTGATACCTTGCAACTAAACTTTGAAGCAGATATCTTCAACTGATTGATCTGAAATTTTGTATACACGTTTAGTTTGCATGACCATATAAAAGCTGCATAATAGCTTGTTTTTAATTTCTATTTATTTTCATGTAGTGCCACACTAAGATTTGCTATAGACTCGTAGTGTTCGTTCTCTTGTTTGTTTGTTTGTTGGTTTGTTCCGCTTTCACGCCGTAACTACTAAACCGATTACTTAGAATTTTTGCAGACGTAAAGTTAGAAGTCTTGATTAAATAATAGGGTACTTTTTATACCGGAAAAATTTTATATTCCCGAGGGAAAGCAAAAGTATTGGTATAGATGGCGCTGTGTGTATTGGTACATGTCACATAGGCTACTTTTATCCTTTTGTGACGCGAGCGAAGCCGGGGGTAATAAAGCTAGTTTTTAATAATTGAAATCAGTTAATCGTCTCAGTTGACTCCTTTGACATAACTTTAATTCGAACTATAAACGTTGGACCGACAGAAATGTCGTCTCGTGTTTTTTTTCATTTCGCGGACCATATAATTATTGTTTTCTGCGGACTAGTTGAGAACCACTGATGTAGACTAATTTATCCATTGATTGATTAACAAGCATCTTCTTAAGAATTCGTAGATTCTCATAAAAAAAACTATTAGGATTTTTACTAAAGCAGTTGTAAATGTTTATTGTCCAGTTTGTTATTTAGTATGGTTGATGGTATGGTTTTATTTTATACTTGTATCTATTGCTTGTAAATTAGTTTTTCATTTTACCGTTTTGTATTGTTAACTATTTTTCTCTAACATAACATAACATCACGCCTTTTATCCCCGAAGGGGTAGGCATAGACAATATGCCACTGTACAATATAACACCCACTTTTCACTATTTATGTTATGAGTCCCATGTAATAGGGGGTGAGCCTATTGCCATATACCGAGCACAATTCCAGACTCCGTGTTACTACTGAGATTGTTTTAAAAACCCAGTAATACTTTGTCCGACTCGGGAATCGTACCCGAGACCCCCTGCCCGGCACCACAAGGCCAACGAGGCAGTCATAAGAGTGTTTAAAATACTCATAGGCATAATCATGATCAGAGAGCATCATAGTTATGATATTATCTCACCAGCTGCCTTTCTTCGTACTTTCAACAACACGTATTGAAAATTTAAAGTTTAGTCAGTAAGAGTCTGACACTCCCTTCCACCTCACCCAGGCGGGAGCAGTCATTCGATGATTTTTCCCCCAAAATTTAAAGTAGATTGGTTCAGCAGATAAAGCTTAAAGAGGTAACAACCAATCTTATTGTCACATTTATCTCTTTATACAAACAAAACATTAGCAGCTGTGGTGATTAGTACAAAATCCCCTAAGTTATGAATCACCATAATCTCGATTAGTAAAATCGGTAAGAAACTCATTATACCGCGTGTAGTTAATTATCGGGCGATCTGCGGCGACCACGGGAGGTGTTAAAAAACAGATTGGGACAAATAAAAATGTTGAAAAAGTATACGGTTCTGTAGTGTGTCTGTGTTAAACTGTGTTAGTTGGACTGTCCTCATTTATTTATTTACATAACATAACATCACGCCTTTTTATCCCCGAAGGGGTAGGCAGAGGTGCACATTATACCACTGTACAATGTAACACCCACTTTTCACTATTTATGTTATGAGTCCCATGTAATAGGGGGTGAGCCTATTGCCATATACCGGGCACAATTCCAGACTCCGTGCTACTACTGAGAATATTTAAAATCCCAGTAATACTTTGCCCGACCTGGAAATCGAACCCGAGACCCCTTGTCCGGCAGTCGCACTTACGACCACCCGGCCAACGAGGCAGTCTTTTTTTTATTTATTTTTTTATACTTTGCACACACAGAAAAAAATTGTAAACATTGCAATAGTAATTTGAGTACAATGGGCGGTATATACTTTATTTTGATATTAAAGTTATAAGATGTTTTTATTGAACATAAAACGTAAATTATTATTTAAACAGATGGAATGAACGGGGTGCATCAACAGAAATCGAAATTGTTCATTGGGTCATGCATATTATAGAATAACTATTAACTCGTTGAGTACCGTCATTATAGACACAATTAAAGAACAATAGGTTGCAGTCACCGGTGACCGCTCGGTGTTTGACAGTTTAAATTTAGCTTTATTACATAGGTAGGTATGATGTACTATAAATGATATGCAGATTTTTTGCATAATTTGCTAAAATATTGAAGAGATATAACTAGAGGTAGCACCGTCTGTTTAGGACAAGTCTTGGGTAGCGCAACAACAAAAAAACATTCTCAATTTTTTACACCCCATTAGTGAATCTATCGTCAACCAAAACACCCATAAAGTCTCCTTAAAACACACGACAAACACACCCTACATCCCACTAAAAACACGAGTGGACAATCTTACGGGATCTTAATTGGGGAGCGAGCTATGCGCGGCATCCGTCGGCGGGTCCAGGGTCCAAAACAATTCTTTTATTCTCCGGACCTTGGACCTGGTCGTGTGTCACTGTCGGCGACGGTCCGTCTCCTCAGCCACCATTTTACTTTTAAATCACAATGCTTTATGTGCACAGGTTAAAGAGAAACTCGTAAAAAATATATTATGTTTATTTTACTTTGGTTATGGTGGAGGTAAAAACTTGTGTCTTGGGCTGCAAGTTTGTTTTGTAGTAAGGTGTAGTGTAGGGGCGCATTTGTTGTTGTTTGTTATTGTTTTTTGCTTGAATTTACTTTGATTTGTTTTCGATATGTTTGGTTAGCGTGGTAGCCATCTATAGTAATGTACAGATATGTAGTAATATTTTTAGAATCTTATAATATAAACTAAACTAAAAATTATAATATGAAACCTCATGGTCAACAATTTAAGTGGTCGTTATTCAACCTTAGTTTAAATTGTAAATTCACATTTCAATTTATCTGATGGTAAGCAATCGACGTCACCCATGGACACCTGTAATTTAAGGATTGTTGGGGATTAAGGGATTGAGGTGATTAGGGAAGGGGTAATTGGGCCTGTGGTAAACTCACTCCCACGACGAAACACGTGTTATCACGTGGCCGTGGTATCACTCCGGTCGAGCCAGCTCATTATGCCCGAACCACACCGGACTCATAACATACCAAACTTATAAAATGTGAATGTTATAAATACGTATCTCCTCCCTTTGTGAATTAAAAAGATTAACATTATGTCATGCATGATTATACTGCAGAAAACTAAGTTAATCATGAAACCCTTTTCATCAACAAGACCTCATTTTATGGTCACTTAACCAACAAACATACAGCTCCTTATTAAATATATTAATAAAGTATTATGTATTATTATATTATCTTGCCTCTGAACATCCGTGCAAAGGTCACAATGTCAAAGAGGCGATGAGCTGCATACTGATCGGCGAGACAGTGCGAAAAATTAATTATATTTATTTAATGGTGACTGAACTCGATGCGCAGGAGTTGAGTGGGTTGTTACTCATGTGTGTGTGGTGTGTACGTGTGAGTTTAAATTCATAATGTGTTTTACGGCCCAAATTATTATCAGATCTCAGTCTAAAATCTTCAGATTGATCGATATTTGATGTTAGTTCCAATGAATTTCTGTTAAAAACCCAAATCGATATACCTACACAGAAATTTTGGAAACATTAAGGTAGTGTGGAACTGCAAAATAGAACTATGGTGTGGGCTGATAGATGCTAGATAGACGCGCAAGAGGTCGATTCCGAGGTCATGCGAAGCAAGATGAAGTTTTGTTTACTCCTTCGGTTTTGTATATTGCTTTGATATTTTCCTTAAAAATGCCTCATAGAAAAAAAACAAAAACCTTTTTGTATAATGCTCTGGTAATTAAACCGCTAATCTATTATATAGGGAAGCATTAACGTAATCAACTAGATACCAATATTACCAAATAAAAATATACTATACCATCTTCTTGAGTGGAGTTCATATGTATATAGCCCGCTGTTATCTAAACGATGTTGTTTTGTTTTCGACAACCACGCGAACGAAGTCGCGGGAATAGATTTAGAATAAATAAGAAATCCATGCTATACTGCTGAAGGAATGAATTTGCAGCCTGCAGTATGCAGCACCGCTCTCCTGCCCAGATGGGTGCTCATCCAGCAGAGATACGGTTTGTTGTGTGTCGTGTGTGTATTTTGTGTCGCATCTCTGCTACATACACAACATAACATCACGCCTTTTATCCTCGAAGGGGTAGGCAGAGGTGCACATTATACCACTGTACAATGTAACACCCACTTTTCACTATTTATGTTATGAGTCCCATGTAATAGGGGGTGAGCCTATTGCCATATACCGGGCACAGTTCCAGACTCCGTGCTACTACTGAGATTTTTTTAAAAACCCAGTAATACTTTACCCGACCCAGGAATCGAACCCGAGACCCCTTGCCCGGCAGTCGCAATTGCGACCACTCGGCCAACGAGGCAGTCTGCTCTCTCGTCGAGGCATCTCTGTTGCATAAGCATTTAATTTTATCTGCAAGCATGAGGGCTGCAAATTCATTCCTTCAGCGAATTAACCCTTTGAGTATCGTCATTATAGACACAATTAAAGAACAATAGGTTGCGGTCACCGGTGTCTTTGCGGTGTTTGACAGTTTAAACACTAAATATTTTCCCAGTTGTTAGAGCACTTTCTCAATTTACAGCAGGTCATAGGGACGCAAGAAGTACAAAACAGTAAATGCTCAAGCCACATTTTGAATCATATCTGGCAAATTGTAAGTGTTAGTTTGAAGATTATTCTGCCTACCTTTCTGAGAATAAGAGGCGTGCCGTGAATGTTATTCACATATTGAAACAGTGTTCATTGTAAGTCATATTCGTTCGTTATTTGTTAAACCAGTTGAACGCAAAATCGATTACATTTCTCACCAAATTAATCGGTGGAATGAATACTTGAACTAAGTTGTGAGCGGTAAGCGGAATGTGATTTAAAAAAAATAATTAATGTGGTCAAATGATGTATTATTTGTTTTTAAATTTACTATATTTCATTTAGTTCACTAACAACCAATCTTCGAGAATTACATGGAGGGATAATTTACTTTGTCCATTTTGACTTATATTTATTACACAAATCAGAACCGCAGTATATAAGACTATTTCTAGCTCGGGGTAGCTATATAGGTACTAAGTATAGCCATGTATCCCTGACTTAGGGCAGAAGTAGGCACACAGTAATTTTAGTCAGTAAGAATCAGACACTCCCTCTCGCTTCACCCAAGGCAGGAGAAGTAACATAACATTACAACACGCCTATTATACCCGAAGGGGTAGGCAGAGGTACACATTACAGCGCTTAATGCCACTCTACAATGTAACACTCAATTTCACTACTTATGTTATGAGTCCCATGTAATAGGGGTAAGCCTATTGCCATATACCGGGCACAATTCCAGATTCCGTGCTGCTACTGAGATCATTTAAAAAAAATCCAGTAATACTCTGCTCAACCCTGGAATCGAATTCGAGACCCCTTGTCTGTTAGTCACACTTGCAATCACTCGGCCAACAAGGCAATGCAGTATCATTTAACTCGTCGAGTACCGTATTTATAGACACAATTAAAGAACAATAGGTTGCGGTCACCGGTGACCGCTTGGTGTTTGACAGTTTAATATTCCAATCTCACATAAAGGTCAAGCGTTTAAGCTTCTCCATCATCGTATAACTTAGACCACAATTGAAAGGGCGAAGTGAGACAAACTTTTTTAATTTGCAAAGATAACTGTTGGCTCGTTATTAATTACTGCCGCGTTATACCAACACTCGGATTTATTTATCGATATAAATATGAATTTAACGAGGCCCATCACTAATTAAATATGTATTTGACATCGAGATTATTTTTCTGAAGGATTTGAAGTGACTGTTGGTTGAGCAAGGAGTTAGTACTTGATTTGGGTGAAAAGTTATTAAAAACTTTTTCGTTTTTTCAATAAGGAAATTGGAAATTATGCCCGGTAATAGGAAACGGACTTTTATTTAGACACTAGCTTTTACTCACGGCTTCGCCCGCGTCACAAAAGGATAAAAAGTAGCCTATGTGACATATACCAATACACACAGTGCCATCTATACCAATACTTTTGTTTTCCCTCGGGAATATCAAATTTTACCGGGATAAAAAGGACTCTATTATATTTTAATCCGGACTTCTAACTATACGTTTAGTAGTTACGGCGTGAAAGTGGAACAAACAAACAAACTCACTTTCCGATTTATAATATTAGTAAGGATTTCAAGGCATTAATTTCTATGAATCCATATGCAGGCACTACATAACTGCCACTTTCATATCTACACCCCCTAAAGGTCGACTGTTAGACAGGGTCCAAGGCAAAGTCTCCTGCACTTGTGTTCTTTTATAAATAAATAACTAATATTATATAAAGCATTAACTTTATTAACTAAAGGGACAATTATTCCAATTTCATTGTATTTGTTGACGTGACTTTGACTTTGACTTTGATTTGCACTCAGTAACCTTAACCTATCCAAGAAAAAATCAAAGCAAAATAACATTGAAAGGAAAAGCACCAACAGTCATTTCCTTACGTTTCCCTAAAGATTCGTTTCATAGTCTCCACACACATAGTTTACGAGCAAGCAAGCACAATTTGAACGGAGAAGTTGATAATTAAAATCAGTGGGCACTGAGTTACGATCAGTTAGTTAGTTACAAAATGGTGGCGCCCGATACCTAATTAAAAGCAATATTTAATAGAGAAACGCCCCCAACAAGGAAGGGTCGTTACCAAGTCGGAGTTTTTCATTTGAGACACTTTATTTTCAATAGACACAATTTACAAAATACAATTTTGAGATTCTATATTTTATTAGAACAAAACGTCGGCAGAGCAGTAGGGTAGATGCCTAATTGTTATTTTAATGTCCGTCTGGTAGATTATTTTAAATCAATAGACACGTATATTTTATTTTCTTACAGAAACGAATACTTTCGACGATATATTGATTTGAAATATCGCGTGACGTCACTTCTATGTACATTTTGCACGTAGAAATGACATTTTAGCCCCCACTCCTAAACTTTGATTCATTTTATCTAAGTATTATTTTATTATACGACAAAATAAAAAAATACTAATTAGATTTTTAAGTTTCATACTCTTTCATCATCCCAATTGCATTTTTTGTGATTTAAACGCAAAATCTGTTGAATGTATTGTTATACAGTCTTATAAGTGGATAGAGTGACTTTTGAACAATGTTTAAGTAATTCACGAAGTCTTAAGTGTGGCGAACGAACTACAGTTTAAAAAAAGTTAGCATAGTGTAACTTGTTTGCACTATATGTACACATGTAGTATATTCGGAGTCGCGGAGAACCTAACGGGTTACCAGGGCTCCGGCTCGACGTGCAGGAGAAGGAACGGGGTGGTTTTTGGTCAGTAAGAGTGTGACAGTCGCTCACCTAAGCGGGAGCAAGCATTCGATGATTTTCCCCCCTTAAAAAAAAAGACATGTAGTATTCACATAACCGTCAACGCTATAGAGGTAACCGTGGGCCCTAAAGTAGGCGCAGCCTGTATCTTGGTGGCCCAGTGTTAAAGATTGTTAAAGATATAAAAAGCGGATTGCATACAGTTTTTATTAATACTAGGATTTTTAATAGTTAAGTGTGAGAGAGCCATGCTTCAGCACGAATGGGCCGGCTCGACCGGAGTGATACCACGGCCTCACAGAAAACCGACGTGAAGCAACGCTTGCGTTGTGTTTCATCGTGTGAGTGAGGTTACCGGAGGCCCAATTTCCCTCCCCTTCCCTAATCTCCCCCATTCCTGAATCCCCCACGATCCTCAAACTCCTAATCCCCAAAAGGCCAGTAACGCACTTGTAGCGCCCCTGGTATTCCAGGCGTCCATGGGCGGCGCCGATTGCTTACCATCAGGTGATCCGTCTGTTCGTTTACCGGCTTATGCTATAAAAAAATAGTAATAAGCTAAACAATTTGAAACACTAACTGATTAAAACCCTAATAAAATCAAACCTACAACTTCTAATCCAGTAAACTTGTAGCTAGATACTAGTTCAAAAACTTAAATAATAAAATTCTCCCGAACTAGGATGAACCCATAATATGTTCACAGATTATCTAGACAATTAATATAAAGCGTTGGATGTTTCCGCGGCCACGGACTGCACAAGTGCAACACCACGCTGTTACGTCTAGGAGCTGAGTAGTACTGCAGCTAAAGTTAAGTGTATGTAGGTATTTTTATGACGACAAATATTAGCTTTTCATGATTTCCTTAAAACTATTTATAAAGACTTCTCAATGTTGCCTTGTTTAAGAACGTCTAAAATTATTGATTCTATTCTCGGACGGAAAAAATTACCTTAACCTACAGTTGCGAACGGTGTATGACAATAAGCTTTTTTTTTAAGGAGGAAAATTATCGAATGACTGCTCCCGCCTGGGTGAGGCGGAAAGAAGTGTCAGACTCTTACTGACTAAAAACCACCCCGTTCCTACTCCTGCACGTCGAGCCGGAGTCCCGGTTACCCGTTAGGTTCTCCGCGACATGACAATAGGCTAGACACCTTACATAGAACAGTATAACTTTTGTTGTTAACTTAATTATTATGTTTTGACTCACTCACGTAATTATTTGACGAGGAACTCGACTAGTTTCAAGCCATGCTAGAGGCTCATATTCATGAGCAGCATTCCGCGACCCGCGACGCGGCGACGCGGCGACTATCGCGCTGCTACTAGCCAATTACGTGAGTAAAGCGAATAGCATTATAACTAGTTTTGTTGTAAATAGTTAAAAATATTATAATTAGGTACAATACATATATGTTCTTATTATAATTGCAATTGACAGCTTTTATTAAATATTTTTACATTGTTTATAACTAAATAAATATTTACAACTTAAAATTAACTACAACTAAACTATTAAATAAAATGAAAGTAAAAAAAAGAAACAACAAAAATTATACCCTCAATTTAGGCGTCAAAGTATTCGTCCGCATCACTATCATAGGGGAACGTTCCCAGGAGTCTGGCAGCATTGCCACGTTGAATGGCAATGTATATTACTTCTATAGGTATATATTCTTAAATACAAAAATAATATTATCTTAAAAAAATCCAATGAAGTAAAATAAAACCACAGTGGCAATCTTAAACACACAAAAACTGAAGATTAATGAATTTAAAATGCAGCCCCAAGCATTCGAACCCCATCCCTTCCCGAGTCATCTGTCAAAGTCTTCAGAAACGATGACACAGCCAATATTATCGTATCTAATGGAAGAAAACTACTATTTATTAATATGTTTATCTTAAATTGGAATGTTGAACGTAGCAATAACACTTGGGAAGTACTATCGATGAATTTGTGGATGGTGTGTCCTTTCTAACTGATTTACAATTTAAAAAACTAATATGCAAACCGGAGGGTTTCAAATGCAATAACGTAATTACCTACACAAACTTTGAAAATGCACACAAAGTTTGGCAACACCTTGACAATGATTGATTCAATTTTTAGGACTTCAGGAATAATCGTTAGAATGATAACAAAAAATAATAATTACTTTTTTTGAAAATTAACGGTTTTAAATGAAATATGTATTATGTGTACATGTAATGTAATATACCTACTAATATACTATATTAAATAAGTGTTAATGCTACCATAATTATAAAATACAACTTACATCCTTCTAAAGCAACGCAATCACCAATCCACCATAGCCATCAAAAATTCCATCGACAGTACAAAATCAGGTAGGTGGTCAAAAACTTAAAAGTCAATAGCAGACGGAAGCGGATGTGTGTATGTTTGTACATCAATATATTAACCGGTGCCTCAAGTGTGCTGCGTCATGTGGGGACAGCAGAGACGTAGGTAGTCCTCTACGATTTGCCTGAACACATACAAATCGGTGTATTTGTGGGAATTGGTATATTACGATTATAATTTTCTTTTGTATTCTTTATTAGTGTATCCTTTTATTGTTGAGGTATATTCATATAGTATGTTGTGGGTATAAATAGTCTCTCATTAACCGACTTCAAAAAAGGAGGTTCTTAGTTTTAACCTGTATGTATGTCTGTATGTTTGTGCGCGATTTTCTCGCGATTGGCTGAATCGAATTTGAGGTAAGTTTTAGACATCTTTTTTTATGGCATAAAGCCGGTAAACGAGCAGACGGGTCACCTGATGGAAAGCAATCGGCGCCACCCATGGACACCTGAAACACCAAGGCGTTACAAGTCCGTTACCGCCCTTTTGGGAATTGGGAATTTGAGGATTGTGGAGGATTTGCGGATTGGGGAGACTGGGTAATTGGGCCTCCGGTAACCTCACTCAAACGATGAAACACAATGCAAGCGTTGCTTCACTTCGGTTTTCTGTGAGGCCGTGGTATCACTCCGGTCGAGCCGACCCATTCGTGCCGAAGCATGGCTCTCCCACACTTGAGTGTTTGTTATATTCAGGAGAAGGTATATAAATCAGACGACTTCAAAAAAAGGAGGAGGTTGAACGGAGTTTGTAAAATAATATTGTTTTATTTGTACTTGCTTTTCTTTTTGGTCGAGTGGTTGCAAGCGCGATTACCGAGAGGGTCTGATGCGATTCCCGGATAGGAAAAGTATTGTTAAATTATGATCTAGAATTGTGCCTAGTGCATAGCCATAAGCTTAGTCCCATTGAAGTCACCATTAGTAAGAAGTGAAAAGTTCCCATCCTTGAGCAATTGTCAATCAATAAACATCTGCTGTAGGTAAATTAGGAAATGAGATCAATTTGAACGTATCCGTCAAAAAATAACTTCACACTGAATTTTAATAGATAGAGGGCCAACAGAACAATTTTCACACATACTAAGTAGGTAATACTTAGAAAGGAAATTGGTTTCTTATGTTCAGCTACTCAAAGATCATTGTAGAGTAAAAAATACTTTTTTTTAATATTATTGGCTTTTATTTGTATTGTATTTTTCGTGAGACATATTAAATAAATTATTATGTTTTCGGCTACGGCAGACTCGAGTAGCCAGTAACAGCGCGCAGTCGCCGCGTCGCGGGTCGCGAAATGCTGCTTATGAATACGAGCCTCTAGCATGGCTTGAAACTAGTCGAGTTCCTCGTCAAATTATTACTTACTCACAAGCCGAAAACATAATAATTTATTGGCTTTTAGTTGGTAATAGGTTCAATACGAGATTTTGTGTGAAGCTGTCGCATATGTCTGACTTTTTTATTTTATTATACAACATACATGTCGGATCTGACGACTAGAAAGGTACCTTATTATTCTATTATAAATCTATTAAGTATCCTTTATGATTATTAATTACGTAAATTCAATTGAATAAAACGTAATTATGATCTGTATTATAACTTTCGTGAGACATAATGAGCGGGAAAAGTCAGACTGTCGCCACGTCGCAGGTCGCGAAATGCTGCTCATGAATCTGAGCCTCTAGCATGGCTTAAAACTAGTCGAGTTCCTCGTCAAATTATAACGTGAGTAAGTCAAAAACATAATAATTTATTTAATTATTATCTATTTAGCTATCCGCACATGGCTTCACACGCATCGTGTAAGAAAACTATAACATTTAAATGAAACTAGCGTCTAAGCATACGACCACAAGCATACCCACTCGCTCCACTAAATCAGCACAAAACGATAATATTTGATAAGAAAACAACACGCGGACAGACAGACAGGAAGAGATGTTCAATATTGATTGTAAACAATACAGTATTGAATCCGTTTTGGGAGACTTAGTAAGTATTTCCTCTACGTTTTTTGTTTGACTTTGTTTTGTTTGACGTAATACAAAATCATACTAATTTTATATTGGTGGCAAATAAATAACATGACATAACATCACGCCTTTTATCCTCGAATAGGTAGGCAGAGGTGCACATTACGGCACTTAATGCCACTGTACAATGTAACACCCACTTTTCACTTTTTATGTTATGAGTCCCATGTAATAGAGGGTGCGCCTATTGCCATATACCGGGCACATTTCCAGACTCCGTGCTACTACTGAGATTTATTTTTTAAACTTAGAAATACTTTACCCGACCCAGGAATCGAACCGGAGACCCCTTGCCCGGCAGTCGCACTTATTGAGATATACTGCTGGCCTATAGTCCAGCTGTGGACTCTCAAGAACTGTTAACAAATGCTAATTTTAATTGTAGTTTAGAAGTTCCAAAGAAGGTTTATAAAAAACGGAGCTGCAGAGGACGTAACGGGTTGCCGGGGCTCCGGCTCGAAGTGCAGGAGAAGGAACGGGGTGGTTTTTAGTCAGTAATAGACTGACACTCCCTCCCGCCTCACCCGGGCGGGTGAAGTCATTGGATGATTTTCCACCTTCAAAAAAAAAAAAAAAAAAGGGTTTACAAAAAAGCAAGTCTTAGTCAAAGTCTTATCTCACCCGCTGGAGGAGAAATGTTGGTGTAAAAACGTTCAATATATTTAAGTTAATGGTGAACAGGTTGTGAGCACAAGTATTTGTTGTTTGTTACTTCGTTTAATTTATTAGTGTTCAAACCGTTCTCTTAAATTGTTATACTGATGGGCCTGCGGTGGTGGACAGGGCTGACCGTATCATACATTAAAAACATAACATTATTTATCGGCCAAAGTAAATAACCAATTTTAATCAAAAATTTATTATAATATAACTAATATTCTTTTTTCTATGAAATAAGTCGGGAAACGAGTAGACGAATAACCTGATGGTAAGCAATCGACGTCGCCCATGGACACCTGGAACACCAGAGGCGTTACAAGTGCGTTACTAGCCTTTTGTGGATTAAGAATTTGAA